GACCACTTTTCCGACGGCCTGCTTCATATGCACCTTGGATGTCGTAAGTGGGTATCCCAGGTACATAGGACATGAGTCCGACTTTTCATCAAACCATTTGATGGTGGGAAAGCGTTCCCGCCATGGATCACTGGATCCATACATTGATATGCCTTCTGTCTTGCTAACATTGAGTTTTGCGTTGCTTCCAGCAGCGTAATCATTGTAAACCTCTAAGAGTTTGGAAAACTCCCAAAAATCATTGATGACCACCAGAATATCATCGGCATACGCCAGGTATGAGACTTTTTCCGTCAGCGGGACTTGAAAGCCATGAAGATTGTGGAGCAGTCCACGGAGCAGTGGTTCAATCATCAGGTTGAATAGCAAAGGTGATAGGGAATCTCCTTGACGAAGTCCTCGGCATTGGGGAATGGGATCTGTCAGATGGCCGTTGATGCACACTTTGGTGGTTGATTCAAACAGTAATTGAGACAAGCAAGTCCGGAGTGATTCTGGAAATTCGAATCTGGCCAGTGTCTTTTCGAAATATCGGGGATGAACCCGATCATACGCTTTCTCTTGGTCCAGCGACAGCAAACAGGGTGGAACGTCTTTACGTCGACGGGAGTCGGCTTTGGCATAATGCATGATGAGTTGGGCAGTCAGCGCATTGTCGGTGATGTATCGACCCCGGATAAATCCAGTTTGATATTTCAGGACGCATTTCGCTACTGGTTCCGCTAATCTATTTGTTAGCACTCTTGAGAACATCTTACTATCGGTATTGATCAGGGCGATAGGCCGCCAATTCTTAGTTCCACTCTTGCACCCTTCTTGTGAATCAAGATGGTACAGGTTTCCTTCCAACTTGAAGGCAACGCTGCGTGATGTAAAGCGTTGTTGAACTGTTGACATAGAATGTCGGCCAATATCGTGTGGCGAAAGGTTTGGTAGAATTCGTATGGCAAGCCGTCACTACCTGGAGCTTTATTGGTAGGGGTACATCGCATGGTCTCGAGTACGTCCTCCTTCGTAATATCCTCCTGTAGCCGATGCGAGTCCTCTGACGTGAGTGAGTTAACTGGCAGGTAGTCAGGGTGCGGGACAGTTCGTTTTCGTCTATGGGTTCCGGTGTGAACAGGGTTTTGTAGAAGGAACACGCTGCGTCTAACATGTCGGAAGGTTGGTCACAATGTTGGCCAGTGTTTGGGTGTATCAACTCGGTTATTTGGGCATGACGTTGTCGCTGGCGCAACAGAGAGAAGAAATGCTTATTTGACTTTTCTCCTTGTTCCTGCCATCGTATTCGGCTTCGCGTTATTGACCTTGGATCTTAGCTTGCCAGTGTTAGTCCAGCGATGCTTGTAGGAAGTCTAGTCGATCTTGAGCGTCGTGGTCCGGAGCTTGGCGGTGAATATGTTCTGGCTTGGTGGGGTATGTCTGCTTTCCAAAATGCCATCCAAGCGCCATGCCTGATGAGCAAGCCGAAATTGGGCCCAATCGACCAAGGTGATTGGCGTCTTCGGAGCTCCAGGGTAGGGTCGTTCAACCTTTGCCAGTATTGGCGTAGGTCACTGGGCTGAGCACAGCTTAGCTCTGTCATTTTGTCTATACCCATGGAGATTTTCCATAGCAATGCAGGGTGGCTGGTCTACAGGGACCCAAGTAGCATCATGCTTGCGCATGAGGAGTGGATCCATGTGGTACTGTAGAGTTGATACCGGAACCTGACCGTTGGAGCGACTGTTCCTAATGAATTTTCTTGCCCGTGTGTTTGCTCTGTTAGTAGTGGCCTTGTGAGCAAAATTCCATCATCGGGCCAGTGTGATATCATTTCGTTTATTGAGACCGATAGTGGAAGTTTGCTTGGTTTTGGGCGCACGGGGGCCCAAAACTGGGTGAAGTTAAAGGTTACACCAGCAAGAAGATTTCCGCAACAATTTTTTTTCGGTTTTATTGTAGCAATTTCGTATCACATGTTTTGGGTTAACATTAATTAAAGGTACTAGACAAAATGTCCATAAAGTAACACCTATGGTGTACTAAGGCTCATGTGAGAATGTAGAACCTAGTCGGCGCTTGTATTAGCTTCTTGGGTAGTGGAGGTGCAGGTGGTAAGAAAGTAAAATCCGCCAGCGTTGGCACTGGATTCTTGGATGGTGGTATTGGTCCGAGTGGTAGCGGCGTGCTGTCGTCTTCCTTGGTCGTAGCTGTCGTCTTTGAGGTTCTTTGCTTTAGAAGGTTCATTTTGTCCCCTGTCAGCGCTTTATGTGCCTTCAATCGTCTACGTCGCTTTTCCGGTCTTTCTGAACTGCCTACATCAGTGTTTCTATATTGGAATCCTGATCCGCACCACATTGTTGATCGTCAGCGACTTCGTTATCACCTTGGGCGTTTTCTTCTTACATTTGGTCCCTTTCTTCCAACTCCATTGAAGACGTTTCTACATCATCAACTTCGCTTATTCCAGTTTCCTGATGATGTATCTCATCATCTGCTACTTATTGTGTGGTTATCTGGTCTTCTGTGCCTATGTCAGAGACTTCGGTCGCAGAAACCGAATTCTTTTGCCGGTTTTTCTGCTTTTTACAGTGTTTGCTGATATGGCCATACCCTTGGCAGCGGTAACATTGTACACTCTGTAGATCAGGACAATCCTTTCTCTCCTGGCCGGATAATCGACAGTGGAAGCATATTTTTGGGGCCCTTGGTACGTTGCTGAAATATGAATCCGTTTTCTTTTTCTCAATGTAGATCATTCTCGAGAGTTCGGGTAGACCGGCATATTCCATGTCGTCTTCCATTCTATCGATAATGACAGAGGCTTCTCCAAACCAGTGTCCATTACAGTCCGTGTATTTGCGCATCTGCTTGACCGCCCCATACGGAGTGAGAGCGTACTTCAGGTACTCAGCAAGTGTTTTATACAAGTTAAGAGGTATGTGCGAAAGGTTTACTTTAATCGTTCTCCTTTTTCCAGCATCAATCCATGGCATACCTTTCGATATGATGCCATCGATAATCACACCCTTTTCCACAGCTTTTCTGGAGCTTTCGTCTTCTTGAAAGACAATCTCGAGGTGCAGGTTTCTCGTAGCGTTGCCGTAATTATTGATATTAGTATATCCTCCCAAGGCACCTAGTTGTTGAGATATTTGATGTACGACAGTGACGTGGTCCAATGAGCTGTTAGGGATGTCGAAGATGATTGCTTCGGGACTCAGGGCCCTCTTTAGAATTGCTGCTGCTCGCTGCGATTGCTGTTGTTGTATATATCCAGGGGCTGACCAAATCAGCTCGGTGTTTACTGATCCAATGCTTCGTCTGCCATGTGGTGTCGTACTCAGTTTCTTCTTCATGGAAGGTGCTGGAACCTTTGCTCCTCTTCGAACAATATCCGTCCAGGCAACCTGGGAGAAGCTAGAGAGAGCTACAGACATTCTAGAGTGCTTAGTCTCTAAGATTGTCTGTCTCGTAACGGTTGAGATTAGGTTTTGAGTGGTTTCTTTGAAGCTGTATAGACTTTTATTGGTTTTCGGCTTTCAG